TGGTCTAGTGGTTGTAGTAGTGCAACTGCTGATCATGAGGTCCTGGGTTCAAATCCCGGGTCGGGCCAAAAAATCTATTATTGAGTTTTTCTGTCAAGAAATTCTCAGTAGCCGCCCGGAATCAGGAAGTTGGCGGTGTCTCACTCCCGTGCCTCGGAAAGCACGTAAAGCCGTTGGTCCTGCGCCTGGTCTCTCTCCGGTCGTGTTGGTTTACCGTCCCATCGGATTACGAGAGTGAGGAAATAGAGAGTGCCCCTGTGCTTGCGCTACACTTGTGCACTATACCCTGTCGTGCGCCGACGGCTAGCCTTCGTTGAGGCCGCCGTGACCGAAATTCGGTCTGGAGGACATTATGATTATTACTATATACTACCAATGATAGGAGAACACACCATTCTACAATAACAATGTTTATAATTTGCCTATAAGAGATTAACTTATTTTAAAATGACAACAATTTTAATGGTAGTTGGGACAAAAATAAGTTTAGCGAACAAATAATATATAATAGTTTTTGTAACAAAAATAAAAGTTAAGTTTTACATAAAGTTTGACTAATTAGTTTCCTAAACTGTCGTTACATTTTTTCATAAAATGTGAGAGCCCGTCACAATCAATGTCCAGTGTATACACGCGTATATAGTGTATGTGTACATTTGTACACATACACTGTATACACGTCATTTACGACTCCGTGTTATGGGAGAATTCTCTCCAAGTTTTGATCGAGTGCTTAGTGTAGTGTAGCGAGTCTTAAAAAAAGTGAGTGAATTAGTAATTCAGCTAATCATACAGTGCGTGTGCCAGATTGACTTATGGATCCGAGACGTAGTCCTTTACTGCTGGCCGTATGAGAAAGTTCAAGATTACTCAGCGAGCTATAGATAGGACTGTGTCCGAGATTTCACTTAATTAGAAATGAGGACCGCAGTAGAATCAGAATTACCGACATAGTACAACGAATTAGAAGCTGAAGTGGCAATGTGCCGGCCATGTAGCCCAAGAAATGACCTATGTAAGAGAAAATTTTTCGAGTGGCAGCCTCGTACCGGTAAGCGAAGTGAAGGGAGGCCCCCCACTTGATAGAGTGACAACCTGGTAAACATGCAGGAAGTCGATGGAGGCAAGTGGATCCGGACCGTGCCTTGTGGCATTCTTTGGGGGAGGCCTGTGTCCAGCAATGGATTTGTGAAAAATGATGATGAATCGTATATTCACTCTATATCACAAAATATCTAGCAAGTTCCATAATATTGTATTTTGCTTAACTAGATACAGCTACTAAATGTAACTCAATAAAAAGAAAAATATATCCTTATTACTTTATCGTATTATCAGATATAACAAAAACAACACAGAAGGTATCCTTTAACAACAACATTATACGCTTAAATGATCCGTGCCTAGTAAGCGAGCGTCAGCTTATTAAAGCGTAGTGCGGACGTTTGGTTGGATGGCTGCGAGATGTTATCTCGGCCATCTCACTGGGTGCAACACTCGTGCGCGTCTGTATGTCTCATGTGCGCCGCTAATCGTCAATTACATCTCGCGCGGGGGATGTTTATCTGTAGGTTTTCTTAGAAGTTTGACAGCAGAAAGGGTTTAAGTTATTAAATTTCTTACGTGGTTCAGCGATGCTGCAGTTATATTATAGTTGTGGCACCGGGGTAGGACCATGCTTTCACAGAATACCAGGATATATGTAGAGATCTATGGGCCTCATCATACACTTATCATCAGATGGACTGTGTGCTCGATTGTCACCCTAATTTTATAAAAAAATACCTCCAAATCTATCCGAAACTAATAATATAATTGAAAGTCAAAACGTTGATTTTACCGTGTAACAAAAGGGGAGGATTATCATTAGCTGGGGTATGCCTAATATATGGGGGGGGAATATTACAAAGAGCTGGTGTACAAAAACGAATACACCGCTATTGAACAATTACGTCTGAAACTGAACCAGGTCCAAATAAAGATTAAAGTAAAAATACTCATTACGCATTCTTAAATGAAATTTTATAATAAGGTGTAGGCTATGTATTGCGAAAATGTTATTTATTATGTACTAAAATAATTAATAATATTCTAATGGTACATATTTGTGTGTTTTATTTGACACATTCCTATCCTTTCGTGTAGTTATCTTATTACTCTACTTACGAACGTAGTTACATTTTTAGTATACTTTAAATTAAAGCAAAAATGTCAATTATTGGCACATGGACTATTTAAGTACATTTTTCAACATCAGGGCCTAGTATTAGCCAAATGAAATTTTCGGGGTTAATTCTTCATGAAAGCCAGTTGTTTTTAAATTAAGTTGTAGAGAAAAAATGACATAATTGTTTTTGAACCTTAGAAAGTTAATGTAAACATGAGATTTCGTAAAAATATTGACTATAATTGTTTAATTTAGATTTTAATAAATCTAAGCCTTTGATTGGTGTAAGGGTACAAAAAGCCCACTATTTATCTTGTTTGAAAAAAAAAACACGTTCGCACACTTAATAGTCTGGCTGTAATTGCAAAGCTTAGGCTAAAATTTTACCAAAGTAGTAACTTTTGAACCACTGAGTATCGGAAAACATACAGAGGGGTTGAATCGATAGATCCTGAGGTCCTCTATATCCCAGCCACCGATGATCCACCCCTCTAGTTACACCGTGTATATCGCAGCCAATTAGCTTAATTAGCCTCTCAGTTAACAGACAATAGAGAAGTTACATAACTTTTTTTGCTACAAATTTATACATAATATTTTACACTTATTACCACAGTACACTAAACTTATTCTGTCTTATTACAAAACGTGGTTAAGATAGTTTTAAACAACGGTTGGAAAAGAAGTCCCTTTGCTGAGATCCAACTTTCTTCACGAAATTCGACATTTGCTGTCCAATTCCACACTTTACAGCCTTCACCAGTTCACTGCGAATTTCCTTAGTGGAGGCAAAGCACTCAGACTAATTAAAAATTACTTTTTGTTATAAGACGATTTCTGTTTTTTCATGTGTTTTCCTACGGCCAATGCAATTCTCAATCTGAATTAAGAAACATAAACAACTTGTTTTGTATAGTGAACACAGGTTCGAGTTCCAGGTGCTGACGTTAACGACACTCCTGGACGTAACAATGGCAAATACGCGCCGCGTCGCAACCAAAAATAAATTTTCTTCTAAAGAAAAACATAAAATCTATTATTCCACATATCTATTAGTCCACATATTTTGCAGGTTCATTTGAATGGATCAGATATTTATTGTACGAATAACAAATTAGACTTAAATATATCTAAATGTTTCTGCGTAACGTTATCCCGTAAGCTAAATAATAATCATTTTAGTTATTAACTTAATAATTAAATTCTAATGAATGGATCCAAAATAAATGACTTGGGAGTAAATCATGACAACAAACTATTGTTTTACTCTCCCTTGTTGACATAGCTTATAAAGTTCCTCTCTTCTATTCTCTCTTCTTGAAGGTTTTGTTAAACATTATGGCCAAAGAATTTATAACAATATAAGCTTTAAAATATTGTATTGTGCTTACGTCCACAGTCAACTAGAACACACTTCTCAATTTTGGTATCCGTGCTTTACTATTTAAATAAATATTGAAAAAATTTACTGCTTTTTTATATAATAAATTGAATCTACCTTTTGCTGACTACGAGCTATATAGCTAGTGCTTGTGCGTGCTATGTGCTTTCTTATAAAAAACGCACAAGGTAAAATGGATTGTCCCGTGCTTCTCAGTAAAATCTCTCTATAAGTTCCTGTAAACCCTTAATATAATTGGAGCTTTTCTGGCATATTGATTTTAATACAGTGATCTAGATTGTAAATGTAGCTGTCAGCTCCCCGAATAAAATAAAATATGCACTTTTTCATTTAGATTCGTCTTTAAAAGTTTTCTAACATAGCCAACCTTCCTTTTCTGTGTTATTTACAATATTCTTTAATGAAAAAGGCTTTGCAGTAGAGCTTTAATCTCAAAACGAATTAGCTGTGCGCTTCTCTCCGATTTTGATTTGAGTTTGATCTCTTATTTGTAGCAATTGTAAAAACGCTGGAGGAAGCTGTGAAGAACGACTACCAGTATCAAGTAAATGATTACATTTTATTTTTTTAAGTATTATAGGTAATTTACTTTAATATTAAATTAATAACAAAGTTACACATGTTTTAAATAGCGACACGCCTCGGCTAAGCCTGGGTCGTATCGAATAATGCGGCGTCATTTATGATCAAACACCCAAGTTAAAATCTCAAGATTTTTAAAATAACCATTTATTATATCAATTTTTCCATTTCATGAAAAAATAACCGAGTTTTTCAGATAAGATTAGGCCATGTGTTAACACTACTGAATACTACATACTACTACACTACTGACTACTACATACTGCTACACTACTGACTTAGCCGTTCCAAACATACAGACACACAGATAAAAACACAGATAAATTCTTAATCACTTGCAAATATTTTTGTGACATGATGAAGAAAAAATTTAATAAAATGTTACTTACAAAGTTCGCTGTGTAGTGACGCCATAAGTATACAATTATTTCAATATAGATTACAAGAATACTTTTTGAAAGACATTTAAGCATTACCACTTGTTCGGCAACAAACCTCCGTCCTAGGACTTTAAAAAATAAATAAACATTATAATATTTTATATATCATTTAAGTATGAAAACATTTAGAAAGAGCGTGGTAGCGATTACCACATTCCTAGGGAAGAAATTTGTAGATTCTCTTCCTACAATCCTAAACGCTAAATTAAAACTATAAAAATGAATGGAAATGGTAAATCTCAACGCTTCTATACGAACGCGATAACTTAACGCTAATTTCATTAGTTTTTATAGTTTTTTTTTTTTTATTAGAATTAACGGTTGTAGCTACTCGACTTGGCTACGAAATGTTCGTTTGCTACAGCTCGTTTGCAAGGAAATAGTCGTTAAAATTTCTTCATCATCGTCATTACCTATCATTATCAATCAGAAGTACACCCTCTAAATTGTCTAATAGACGTATGGCTGTTACTGACTGGTTAGTAACTAAAAAAAGTTATTTGAAACTCATAATAAGTTATCAAGGAAGTACTGTTCCCGTTTTATTTCTCTTTTTTATAGGATAAAGGTGACAAACGAGCACACAATCCATCTGATGTTAAGTGTTACGTGCAACCCATAGACATCTACATTTATCCTCGATTACGAATCAAAATGCGGATGCATTGTCACCCGTATATACTAAGATGGAATACCTCGTTTCTAGTAAAAAGGGTCTTTGGTTCTCTACAACCACCATACGAAGTACAGTAGCGTTAAGCTGTTACTTACGTTTGTATACAGAATACCAGCGTGATCCTTCCCCAGTCGAGCCGACTCATTCGTACTACAACTATACCAGTAATATAGTAGCAGCATGGCAACACCACGTTCCTGATCCCTCTATCGTCTCTTACGATACCCATGGGATGATGTAGGGTTGCAGGTTTTCGTACGCCTCTTTTTCACAGCTGGAAGTCACATTACTAGTTTGGAAAAGGTTAAGATAAGTTAAATACTACTTTTTACTGTAACTTAAAGTATAATGTAATTTTTTATGAAGTTTAATGTTGCCACATGGCAAAATCATTGTAACTCTAATCGATCAATATAAATTTACAAACATGTTTTTTTAAATCACTCATTACATAAAAACGCCGACGTTTGATCGGCTTAAGAGATTTAAAATAAAATTAAGGAAAAAAATACTTGCGAGCATACAAGTGTGTTTAGATAAAGGCCACGCTCTTTAAATATAATTAGAGCTGCGTCGACTTGATCGTTGCTTGACAGAAATATTGAATAGAAAAAGAAACTAACAGAGGAGTGAACGTCCGGTTTAGTGAGGACAAGTTTTGGAAAGTTAAAAAAGCGGGATAGCGGCGTAGCGCTCTGTCGGTGATTGAAGGCTTACGATACATCGCGGCGCCTCGCGAGGATGACCAGTCGTTCTGCTCCATTGGCCTCATCTGAGCTTATAATTACGTCACACTGATGACATGCCATGTACCACCTTGTCACGTCGTTATTGGTAACAAACGATAATGAGAATCTAGTCAAACGTTAAGCTGTAATTTATTTGTGCTTATGTTTTTTTTATAGAATAAGGGTGGCAAACGAACACACAGTCCAACTGATGGTAAGTTGGTGCTGAGGCCTTTAGAAATCTACATTTATCCTCAATCAAGAATCGTAATGCAGATGCGTTGTCATTCCTGAGGACTAAGATGGAATACCTCATTTCCAGTAAAAAGGGTTTCCGGTTTAATACACTCACCATACGAAACACAACCGCATTATAGTGCTATTTTATGCTTGTATTCTATGATAGCGTGGTCCTTCCCCGGTCGAGCCACCCCATTCGTGATACAACCATAATATAGCTGAAGCATGGCTCTACTACGTATAAAATTTTTGTCAAGTCACCATCACTAACAAATGATAGTGAGAACGCAGTCAACAAGTTACTTTTTAATTTATTTTGTGTTATGTTTTACGTGATCTTCCTCATTAATCATTCATAGATCTCTTACGTGAGACAGAATATTCTAGCCTTTAAAAACAATAAACACAATACGTTTTACGATGATACCGGACATCGGTCCGTTACGGTATCGGTCCTTCCTTCATGAAACGAGCTTACTACTTTTTAAAGGGCGGCCATGCACCTGCATTTCCCTTGGTGTTACGGTTTTTCATGGGCGCCGGTCAACACTTACCATCAAGTAAGCCGCACCGTTTGTATATCCCACCTTATATAAAGAAATATAAAATTAATGATTTCTTATAAATACGCGAACATCTTTTTCGCATATTTTGTCACGTTTAATTTTACTTATTTTTAATTCCCCACAATTCGAGTGTAGCGCAAATGGTCACGGGATAACAGAAGTGATTGACGTCCCAATGTCAAAATTAATCCGGAACAAACTGCAGACTTCTTGTGAGCATATCCTAGACGGCCCAAACCATTACATCAGATTTGATAGACCACAAATCCTCGCGAAAGAACTTAGATTCCTACCAAGGATGATACGTGAGGCTATTGAAATTAAAAAAACATCCTAATTTCAATTGAAGAGGAGGCTGGGTACTACCACCTGCTTGGGATCGTATAATTAATATAATTAAAACTAAAACCAAGCATACCATTGCAAGACTTCGAGACACATGAAGCTCATTCTGCATAGATCGAAACAAAAGTAATAATTAAAAAGCTGATGGCACTCCGGGCTAATTTTAAGTGCTCACGTGACCATGGGTGCTATAAAGGACCATAAAGTAGTTTTGGTAAATATATTGATAACTTACCTTGTCCGCTTGTGCGGCGAACGCGTCTCCGCCGCCCGCCCTTCGCGGCGACCGACGTCTCCGCCGCGGTCTCTGCGTCAGCAGCAGACGATCTGTTCACCACAATCAGCCTTATTTTAAGAGTTTAAACATACTTCCTTTTCCTTACCCATATATATTTGAGATTGGCAAATTTGTAATGCAAAACAAGCACATGTTCTTACACTCTAAAGATGTAACAAAAATAAATTTAAGGAACCCACATAAACTAGTACTTGACACAGTTCAAAAAAGTATGCGCGTTCAAAAAAATAGCTATGCAATGTGCAATATTATTTATAGCAAAATACCCTCACATATGTATTAAGCAATTACCACAAAACAAAGTAAAGTTACAGCCTATATACGTCCCACAGCTGGGCACAAGGCGCCTCTCATTTTTGAGAGGGTTTTAAGGCAAGGAAGTGTCCGCCGCGCTACCAAAATGCGTGTTGGCGAACTTCACATGTCTTCGAAATATTTTATTTTTATTTCTCAGACATGCAGGTTTCCTCATGATGTTTTCCTTCACCGCTGAGAAAGTGGTAAACCAGCACTTAAAATTGCAATTAACAATTTTTTTGGGGTCCGGCGGGGATCGAACCCGGGTTGCTCGCGTACTGTGAAATTTACAGCGAGCGTTAACCATCTGAGCTACCATATAATAAGGTTAAAATTGCACTACGATGATGGCTGGTTGAGAAAACATTTTATACAGTAAATGAGTTTTCAAATTGTAGTGACTAAGTAGTTTTGTAGTAATTTAAAATCGATGCATTAATTTATTTATTTCTATTAATTAATTTATTTATAAAGATTGTAAAAAGACATTACTCATTTCCAGTAAAAAGGGTCTCCGGTTCTTTACACTTATCATACGAAACATAGCAGAATCAAGCTGCTATTCAACGCTGGTATTCTGGTGAGAGCGTGGTCCAGACTCGGTCGAGCCGATTCATTCCTGCTACAACCATAGTAGCTGCAGCGTGGCTCTACTTCGTACAAACAGTTGTGTTATAAAAAATCCAATAATATGAACCTATGACATCAAATTAGCTCAATTCGTCATTCATCTTTCCTTCACTTTTTTATGTTATATTATTTATTAAAGACCTTGGTTTACTATTTTTCTATTAGAACTTACGTCGTTCTTTTTAATCCTTGTATTTCGCGATTACGATCCCTACCTATTAATTAGTATAATTAAAAAAAAAAGGTTGGCAATTGACGGCATGAACGATACAAGCCGAGCTTAGTGTGCGTCACAGGTGAAACTTCGTCTCCTGTAAATTTAATAAAAACAACCACATGTATCACTATTTTGTATATTTGGCATGTAGCAAAGTGTATCCTCAATGTAAAGTAGTTTCAAAATAGTGTTTATATTATTTAGGCATCAATACGAATTCTCATCTGGTTGGGTTGTTTAAATATACAAAAGAAAATGATAAATATACCTTAAATATAGTAAAATAAATAAATAAACGTACATAAACAAATGAAAACTCAACCAAATGAATGCCCCGGGTAAGGGAAACTAAACGGCCGAGGGTTAGGGGGAACAAAAAAGGAACCGGCGGAAGATGCGGGCGTTATCGAGTAGCACTGCCAACGTCCAAGTGCCAGTCGCCTCAGATGACCTGAGAGACTGACCGGGATTAACCCGTTCGCGGTCACAGGAATAATTTCGGTCTACAGCCTCCTCCCCCACTCTCCCGCCCCCCAACATGTCGGTCACCTCTTGAGCCAGGTCCAGATATCTTGTTCGCTTATCTGTTTCGGCTTTCACTAGATTCTCGTCAACGAAATGGTAATGTCGACTAAAACTATTCTTGACTGTGCCCGATCCATCAACACAAAATAAAATTTATTATTATTACCTGCTAGGTTGAGATCGATACGTGCAGAAGAAGTCGGGACGCACGCGGTGTGCACGCAGCAGTGCGGCCAGTTGCGGTTCAGGTCGCTCGAACCGCTCGTATGCCTGTTCCTGACGCTCGAAACGCTCGTACGCCTGTTCCGGCCTTTTAAGCCGCTCGAACCGCTCGTACGTCTGATCGGGCAGCAGCATACCGCGCGCATGGCGCCGCGCGCCTTCTGCGCCGCTTACAATTTAGTCTATTCTTGTGAAAAGAAGAATGTGAAGTGACGTGCAGTTTTGTATCTTCAGCACATTGCCAGTCCTCATGAATTTCAATAGTTTGATACCAATTTCAGATCGTTGTACGCTTGTTTAAATTTGACCGTTAGCATTCACCTGCGGGACGAAGCAACTTGGGAAAAAAATTCTGCATCAAGCAAGCAAATACGTCAAAATGTGGGCCCATAATCTAAGTCGACATTCCGTTGTAGTTCGTTCTCATTTAGGATTTCCAAGCAGTGCTCCCTGAAGTTGACGAATATCTGAACACAAAAGGCGGGAGCGGCGCGGGATGCGCGGAATGTCGCACGCTTTTTGTTATTGTCGCCGCGACTCGATTAACAGTGCGGCACCACCCTCCGGTCATATTTTATCGACCGCTGTCACATAATACTAAACAAACTATAACATCCTATTTCATCCCCTCAGGGGTTGAAATTTCTACAATATTTTATTAGTAGACGTCCACGTTTGATATGTTCTTATTACAATATCAACATCCTAAGACACCAAATTTCAAGTTATCACAGTTTAAAGACAGTCTAACAGTAGTGAAACGCTTTTGATGTCAGGCGATGTTGCCGCCTGCGTAGGTATATGCTAGGGGTTGTTACAGAATTGGGAATAAAATAATTTTGCATATTATAATGTCATTATCAATTACTAACAGTATGTGTATACTTATAAGTTGAAAACATTTATTTAACAAGATCATTTTTATTACTTCAATAAAAAAATCATTTACAAGTGTTGCACTGCCCTTGTACACTTTCGTGACACTTTTCTTTCAGTTTTAGATTATTAAATTTAAATGTGTAGTGTACTCGTATTCGGATAAACAATTTTATCAAAACAAAAGGAGGGAAACTTAAGCATGGCCGTCATTTCAATATAACTTTGCTTAGTAACCGATATAACTATCACAGTAATTCACCATTATAGATATTAAATTTCTCAAAAACGGCCCTTAAAATTAGTTAAACAAGTACTATAAAACACAATGTATTATAACCGCAAAGTAAACCGTCAACCGCATGTATTTTACAGCAGACTTAGTGGAGTATGCTGGCACAAATTAGCGCCGCCCCCCGCCCCGTAAAGCCATCGCCGTTGCTCTGCTTAAGTACATTCGTTTCCCAACTATTAAGGCTCTTGTACACGCTAAGAAAAGTCGCCGGGTCTATGCAAGAATTCGTGTCGTTTCTACACACGAACTGTGTACAATGCTCCGGCGCTGACAAAGGAAAAATCTTGTCTGCTCTCGACAAGACAAGCTCCGTGTTGTTGCGGTGAAGGGAGGGGCGGAGTAGGTGAGTTGCTTCAGATAATTTGAGTTTTTTTTTTGTACGTGTGGATGTGTTTACGTACTTTTTCATTTTTTATATATAATATGCAATAATCATTTTTTGCTTCGTAGTTAACATGATGCTATTTATTACAAGCAAACTTGACTAGTGCGCTATACCCTACGCACGACTGACCGAAAACACATGTCTCTATTTATCTTATCTGACAGCAGACAAGACAAATTTTCGTGGCTAGATCCGACAAAATTCTTGTCATATAATGATGAATTGGTCTTATCTGCCGCCGACACGGTGAAATTTCTTAGCGTGTGCAAGAGCCCTTAGACTATCTTTAAACTGTGACGTTATGTTGTCTACTTGAGAAAACCTTAAATTGTTCAAACTGTTGTGTATTCATTTTCAGATATTACTGTTGTTTACCACTCAGTTCAACATTATGTACAAACAACATTTAGCATTAAGCATTACGCACATGCGACATCGTCAATGTCAAAAGAGAAACTACGCCAAACAACAGCTGCTTTTTACCGTAGTGATTTAAAATTTTTGCTTGTTTACTAATAACATCACTGATCTCGCGTTGTAAGTTATTTAATTTACACAAAAATTGTTGTATTATAAAAAATATAGGGCTGGGGTGGAAAATAAGGAGGCCAATGCGATACGATAGCGCGTCGTCGTCGGTCGATTCGGGCATCCTTCATATGAATTTTAGTAAGCGATTTCAACAAATCAGTAAAATATCGTTGTAATGCTCTCTTTTATCGTTATAATTAATTTCATTCAAAATATTATCGAACTTCATGATTTGCGAACTTAGCATCTCAAGTACACGCACCTATTGTGTAGGTACTTACGAGATTCGAGTTTCGTTTATGAAACAGTGCATCACTCGACTGACAACGTAAACTTAAGCCGTAACTTGAACTATAGCAGATCAATATTGTTCCCAAGTGCGTGCACTTGAGCTGGGGACCGTTCACTAATACGGGCCTTAGAGCGCCTCAACTATAACTATAGATCTATTACGACACTAGAACGCACACCGAGCAACTCGAGGGTGTCAATAGATAACACGCTGGTTGATACTTCACGGAAATTAGCGAGTGTTCGCGAGGTGCAGAAGACTGCGAGTGAGCAACGATTCGCAGAATCTGCAAGACTTTGCGGCGGCGGCACGTTTCGCAGAAGCCTTTCGAGCGACCCACGCGACCTTCGCTTAACGCTCTGTATGATTCGTACTAATCTCAACAATGCATGCGAAATTATCTGATATAATTATATAAATACAACTATACGTCACGACTCAAAATTAAATCCCAACTCAAGAATACAAATGCAAGACTTTAAAGATACTATAAGATCATTTTGCGTAGATCGGACCAAAAAGACAGTCGTGGTTAAATATGAAACTGGCACGCCGAACACCACGACCCACCCCCCTTGCTCATGGGGTCTGTAAAGTGCTCGAAATGTCGGGAATATAAAATAAGTTAATACACGTACTAAATTCCGCAAAAACTAGTTTTGTTTAAATGTGTAGTGTTCATGTAGACATAGTAAATCACTTGATATAATTATTTAAAATATTAGAACCTCGCGATCAAAAACTATATGTCAATACATTTATATTACTAAACTGAAAAACAATACATATATTATTCCTACCACCATACGTGAACCCACCGCTGAGTCGAGGCCTCGTGTTCCAATACTTTCCGCGCTTGATCGGCAACAGCTGAGTTTTATTGTTCTAAACTACGTATTATTATTATTTACTGATATATAAATAATTTTTATTTAATAATACGTATTCGTTTCACTAGGTCTTATTCTTTCGAATGAAATTTTAATAGTATTCATAACGAACTGTTACCGCAGAAGCCAAATTTTCTTAAGTAGAGCTGTATGTGCTCGAAAATCTGTCTTAAATTAAATTATTACATAAAATATAGGAGAAAAAGACTGCAAGCTATAAGTGGTATCAACAAATATTTTTTCATCTTTTTTTCAAAATATTAAACGGTTAAAAATATTACGCTTTTATTACCACGTTTTTATTAACTTTCCTTCGTATATGTCAATCCGGGCCGAATTTAGTAATTTATTTTAAACTAACTTCTAGATAAGCTAAAGACTTGAAATTTAGTAGTTCAAATGGAATGACAATGTGAGAATATGGGAAAAATAAAGAGAAAAGTTTTATATTTTTACTCCGTTTTAAAAACGTAGTACATTAAAAAAATTAGCGATTGGTCGATTTTTAAAATAAATTTGAAGGTACTTAAATGGTATCTACACCGAAACTGTCCTAAGCTCGATCATCAGTTGGCCGCCAGTTTTTCCGAGTTAACGAATACCAAACTGGTTACGTGCTGCCATTACCTTTACAGAATTGAATTGATTGATGTCCCCACTCGAAACGCGTGTAACAATGGCGTTTACGCTGACGTCGAGGCCTGGCACGGATACCTCCAAATGTTTTTATGGACGCACAAACGAGTAAATTGCACCAACGTATGGCATATAAATTAACATGTCTTTAAGGAGAACACTCGAATTGAATTATGGCTCATGTTTGAAGCAAAGAATAATAATCACATTAAAAGCTCGAAGAGCTGGGAGCGGGGGTATTTTTATAGAATAAGAGTGAACGAGCACACAGTTCACCTGATGGTAAGTGGATACTGTGGTTCATAGACATCTATATCTGTCTTCAACTACGAACACACACGCAGATACCTTGTCACCGCAGAGTGCTTGGATGGAATGCCTCGTATCCAGTAAAAAGTTTTCCGGTTCTCTACATTCGCCATACGAAAAACAGATAGATAGATAAAACATTTATTTGTTTTTCCAATCACACATATACGAGTAAATTATGTGACTAAACTAGCTACAAAGTAACGCATTACAAAAAAGTTAAAAAATCTTTAGCAAATATAAAAAAATAAAAATTTTTTTAGCAAATAGCTTAGTGATTAATATTGCTCAGAGTCAAACACTGACTTTCAGCTATATTACCCTCGAGATAACGAAACGAAAATGAGCACAATAGTATAATCAGTGTATTTACACTGATTATGATCATTCATAGATTGATTGTATTTACATGATATGTCATTCAATCCCTAAGACTTGCATTTTGGATATTCACAGCACAGCAGTATTAAGCTGCTATTTTACGCTGGTTCCCAGGTGGAGCCGAACCATTCGTGCTACAGCTATAATATAGCTGCAGTATGGCTGTACCGCGTAAAACATCTCATTAAAACCACGACAAAAATGTTTAATAGACATTGCTCATAGACATCTACATTTATCCTCCATTAAGAATCAAAATTTAGATGCGTTGTCACTCCTGAAGACTAAGATGGAATTCCTCCTTAGGCTTGAAATGGAATGGACTGCGATTGGCAACCCGTGCTTCAAGCGTTGCATCTTTGAAAATGTCCCCGTATGGCGTCAAACTATGCAGGAAGTTTATGTTTAGCTGTGGACTTTTATAAACTGTAACGGAGTGGATAGTAATGGATGGGTGACAAACGAGCACACAGTTCACCTGATGTTAAGTGGAATGCTCGGCCGGTCGAGGCGACACATTTGTGATACAACCGGAATAAT